CTGCAATTTTAAACTCTTCGTTTGTAGTACCAAATGCATTTTAATGGGTCAAACTTTAATATTTAAAAAATGATCCATAAATCCACCTACATACATTTTTTGACCCAGAATGCTATTACTGCCATTTAACTTAAACTACTTTTTCTCTTTTAACATACACATGTTTTACTTAGGTTCAAAGTTGTGCAAATTGCAACATGACAGCATTAATAACTCAAAAGCAAAAAGTTCAAGCTTTGATTCGTCAGCATTAAAGTTTCCTTTAACACTGGAAAAATACATGCATCTTGGAAAAAGGGAATTGTGAGTATTGTTTTCATTGGCTTTTGTGAAGAAACTAGTTACAACTGACTGGTTCACAGTTCTTACTATTCCAGGGGAACTGTGTGTTGTCATGGCTGGGCTTATGGAGAATTAGTATTCAAGTTGAAATATAAAAGGCCTGCGAACACAAGACATGTTCTAGCCAGATATACTGCATGGTACAAAACAGGAAAATTGTTGGCTAGGAATGTAAGAACCCATAAAGGACATTGGTGAAGGGTTGGGCCGCAAAAGGTAATCTGTAATACTTTAAAATGCAATTACGGTCAGGGAAGTCATAATGAGTCAAAAATGACATCATCTTCTTCAGCGTGTTAGCTTCCAATGCATATTAAGACTTCAGTCTGCTGATTTTAATGACAAAAACCAGTTTTTACTCCTATTAGCACTGCAGAGCCATGAAAGATTGGGAGCTAGTTTCTATTCTGTTGCATGCATCAACACCATTAACAGTTCTGACTGCAGAATCTTTATCACTGACGTTGACAAACAAGCCAGAAGGAGCCCAGATTTTGTTTCCAAAATTATTTTGGTTATGAAAAAACATTTCCTTGTAAACTGAGCTAATTTCATTAGGATTCATTAATAGACAATACAAGTACTACGAGACATCATTTTCAATAATTACAATTAAAAATTCTTGCAAAGAGTGTCCTTTTCAGTCTAAATAACTTAGGCCCATATACTTCCCCTGGTGTGCAGTACAGGTGAGAAAAAACCAGGGTAGACCCATTCAGAGAGGGCAAGCAACTAAGTAAGATGTGTGGGATCCACGAAAGTATTCAGACACCTAAACCCCAGACTCAGGCACCCAAGCCCCTGTGTTAGGCACCTAAGTCCCAGTTGTAGCTTTGCTGCAAGCCACAAAACTCTCACCAAACCTCTAGACACCTCCCAGGTCAGTGCCCTAACGACAGGTCTATAGAGTCATTCTCTCTGGACCAATGACTATTCAACTGTGGATACAAACTTAAATAGCGCATCCACCTGGAAGGGAGGAAACCCCTCGTCTAGACCCCCTGCTCCATCAACTATCATTATTTATCCACAGCGGACCAGCTTCAACAGGAGAGATTCTGGAAATTATAAGATATGCCCCTCCACCTGCGGCTGTCTTGTGTGGAGTGAGATAGGTGCCTAACTCATTTCTGCAATAAACACCTTAGGCGCCTAAACTGCCTGATGCCAGGCAGTAGGTGGCCGTTTGTGCATCACTAAGCAGAGCTAAGCTTCTATCTTCAAGAGAGGGGAGGGGCTTAGCCAATAAGAGGTGCTAAGGAGAGGGGGGTGTGCTATCTTAGGTGGCTCCTCACCTAGTGGGCTTGCTTCTGAGGATCCCATTCTTGCTCCTCTCCCCATTCATTGCATTGGGAGCCTAGGTGCCTAACTCGGCCTTGCAGATCACAGTGTTGTTCCTGAATTTTCTAGGGGCCTAAAAGATAGGATGCCATGATGCTCACCATTGCAACACCTAAGTCCCTTTGTGAATCCTTCTTAGTTACACTGCTCCCACTGACTGAATTCATGGAAGAAGTTAGTAGCGTTGGGATTGGGGGAGAGGAAAGGAGTAGAGGTGAGACAGGAACAAGCTGGGGTAGAAAGCCTGTTCCTCCAATACTGCAGGCCGCTCTTCAAGAAATCTTGCAAAGAGGGAATTCTGTCTGAGAATATAGGGTAACAGAGGCTGGGAGCATGGGAAGGAGAATACGCAGATTCAGCGGTCCCTGTGTAAATTTTTGTACACAAGGGGATAATACAGGCTATTTTTAATGAAATAAAAATATCACCTATTCTCATTGTAACAAGTAAAGATACAAAAAAAAGAACGCAAATTTTAGATATGGGCAACTAAATATCAAATCTAAATTCTGCATCTGTGTGCTCAAATAGATAGGCAGGCCCATGAAATGACATTTACATTTCTACGTGATAATCTAAATGCTCATGCATCGTGTAGCCATTTGTAGACTGGGCTTCACCTACTTTATGCATGATCTCGTAGCATATTGCTCAGTTGCTGTAAAATCAGGCAGCCAGTAGAGGGAGCAAAAGTAAATAAAAGCATATTGTCAAAACTGTGACAATATCAATGAGGCTCCTAATGAGAAAGTACAGCAAAGCCATTACAGAAAAGCAGATGAGGAGAAACATTCTTTACCAAATGGAAGATGACAAATCTAGCAAGAAAAGAGTATTTTCCAGCTTCTGAGAGGGATTAGTAACAGGTAGTAAAAGTTTCTGGGTTAAATTCAATCCTGGTGTAACTAGGGGCAATTCCACTGACCTCAGTGGAGTTCTGCCTGGGCTAAATTTGATACTAAAAAGCTATAATGTACCAAATATAATAATACTTTTTATGTTTGTAAATGCTTTTCATTTGAAGAGCTCTAAATACTTTATAAATTAGTACTGTATTACTATTACAATTTTCCAGGTGGGAAAATTGAGGCTTATAGAAGTTAAATTACATGCCCAAGGTCACAAAGTAAATTAGTAGCAGAGTTGGGTACAAACCCAAGAGATTACATTCCCTGTCCCACCTTGCTACAGCCAGTAGACCACACTCTTCCTCAAGCTGCAATGTCCCTTAATGGCTAGGAAAATCCTCCTAGGTCATCAACCTTACTCTTTAAAAAACCTGACAAAATACTCATTCTTGTTCATCATAAAATAAATGCACAGAGATTACATTTCTGTTTGGTATTTGTGGCTCACGGATATTAAAAAGCTGAGGTGATATATTCTAAACTCAAGGCAAAAGGCATTAGCATCACCAATGCCAGCTGCTAGAAGAAAGAAATCATTACACAGAGGCTCTCCAAAGATGCTCTTTCCTCCAAATACCTGCAACAACATTTTGCAGGAATATTTCAGAGCAACAGTTTAACTGTAATTACAAAGACCTGAATGGTAATCAAAATATTATTATTTCACTCAAGTATTATCATTATGTAGGACAAAGATACTAGGCCCCTCACAAACATTTGTCCTGTGAAGTATTTCCCCATCTCCAGTTACTCTTCCTCTAGTTCAAAACTCCATGCATTTCTGTCAATATTATTAACTAAAATGAGAATATGAAACAAATTAAATGTGACCATCTGTAGGGATACATTAAGGCAGGATCTAAACCACACAGTCAGAGAGAGGGATCCTAGAGGGAACACAGTCAAAGATGGAGTAGCAGACAACAGCCCAGTGTCCATCTCACTGCTGCCAGCTTGTTGTCTCTTATGGAAGGAAGCTCAGAGGCTCCAGATTAGGAAAAAACCTAGAATCCATCCACAGGGAGATAGGAGTGGGAGGGAAAATCCATATTATCTGAGAAGGTGATGGGAGGCATGGTTCTTAAATATTGATAAGTCCTGATTTCATTTAGCTTTGAATTAATCTCTGACGGTATAATTGTGCAACAAGTTAATGTTATTTAATATTTGTATTGCAGTAGTGTCCAAAGGCCCCACTGTGCATCAAGACCCCTTTGTGCAAAGCATTAGGTGCCATGCAAAGACCCTGACCCTGCTCCAAAGGACTTATATATTGAACATATGTACAGTCAATGTGTTGCCTTGAAGCAGGGCTGCTAAACAGGAAGCCCCATAGGTTTCATTCCTGGCTCTTCCATTGACTAGCTGTGTGACTTTCCACAAGTTGCTTCACCTCTCAGTGCCTCAGTCTTCCCATTTGTAAACTGGAGATAACAATTTCACAGAAATGTTCTGACAATTAAATTAGGTCATGCCTGAAAAGCAACCACCGTATATTGATTCACCAGTAATAGTGACACAGGGCCCTTCAACCCCTCTCCCAGCACAGAGGTTGCCCAAGTGGCGGCATCGCACAGTCCCTCTTCCCCTCAGAAGAGATAGCAACCCAGCACCCCCATATATCGCATAGGAGTCCCCCCACCAGCAACATGGATCCCCTCAACACTACCCCTGACAGCAACGGAGACCCCTCACCCCACACAGAGCCCCACCCCACAGCGACACGGACCCCTCACCCCCACGGAGCCCCATCCCACAGCGACACGGACCCCTCGCCGACACGGAACCCCCACCCCACAGCGACACGGACCCCTCACCCCCACAGAGCCCCATCCCACAGCGACACGGACCCCTCACCCCCCACAGAGCCCCACCCCACAGCGACACGGACCCCTCACCCCCACGGAACCCCACCCCACAGCGACACGGACCCCTCACCGACACGGAACCCCCACCCCACAGCGACACGGACCCCTCACCCCCACGGAACCCCATCCCACAGCGACACGGACCCCTCACCGACACGGAACCCCCACCCCACAGCGACACGGACCCCTCACCCCCCACAGCAACACAGATCCTTCGCCCCCCCACCCCACAGCAACACGGACCCCTCACTCCCCACAGAGCCCCCACCATAGCGACATGGACCCGTCGCCCCTACCCCACAGCGACACGGACCCCTCGTCCCCACGGAGCCTCCACCCCAGAGCGACACGGACCCCTCACTCCCCACAGAACCCCCCCCCCACAGCGACACGGACCCCTCGCCCCCACAGAACCCCCCACCCCATAGCGACACGGACCCCTCGCCCCCACAGAACCCCCACCCCAGAGCGACACGGACCCCTCGCCCCCAGAGCCACACGGTGGTAACGTGGATCCCTCCCGCCCCGTGGTAGCACTGACCGGCTCCCCAGGTGCTCCCCGAGCCCAGAGGTAACGGACACACAGAGGCTCTTCACCAGGCTGCCCGCGGGAGGGGGACGCGGCATCCCTCCGCTGCCTGGGGGGACTAGGGAAAGGGAAGGGAGGAGAACGAAATGGATCGGTCACGCGGCGCTCTACTACCTACACCTAAAGATTCATTGGGGGACCAGACAGAGGCAGCAGAGCGTCGAGCCCCATGATAAGAAATCACGTGACGCGCTAGGCCCCCCCGCCAAGTCTGAGATCGCCTCTCTCTTGGGGAGAGTGGCGGGCATGCGCCGTGTGGCCTGTGTGAGGGGCCAGGTGGCGCGAGCGGGGAGGTGGGGCCCTCCTGTGAGGGAGCCCGGATGATTACGCCGAGCAGCCCGAGCGTCTCCTAGGCTCGCTGCCGGCTCAGGGCTGCACAGACGGGGCCCGGCCCTGGTGCTTCCGGGGGGTGCCGGGCAGGCTCCGCCCCCTGCAGCAGTGTGGGGCGGGGGATGTGGTACTTTCTGCAGCAGCAGCCGCCTTGGGTTATGGCACTTTGGGGCGCCCTTGGCCCATTAGTTTTTGTCAAGGGCCAAATTTCTTGGTCAAGGTCCGGACTCCTGAGAAAATAATAATAAAAAAATGAAAATAAAATAAAAATAATAAAAGTAAATAAAGTAAATGAAGATCTGGCAGTCTGGGTTGGACCCGGGGTCTCCCTCTTGACTACCCCTGCTTTGGGGTATACATAAGTTATGTCCGTGTCATTTACAACAATCAGAAGGGGGCCCTGGGGGGAGGAAGAGATTCCTTGTTTCTCCAGCAACCTGACACCCTAATTTTACCTCTTACAGTTTACAGCCTGATGTATGGACCATCATCTCATACCCCCGGTAATGCTATTTTAAAATCCACTTTCTAACACATGGTTGTGAGGACTGAAGGTAAATAAAACTGCTTAAAATCCAGTGGGGAAGTTAGTTACCCATTATCACGTTGCAAGAGGAAAGCTTGATTTTTTTCCCCTTTCCGTAGAAATAAAGACATGAGCTCCTGCCAAAGATACCAGAGTAAAACAAACAGTCACAGGGATGAATCCATTATTAGTTGGCAGTATCATTCGCGGATGGTGTAGTTGGGTGGGAAAAGCTTTGTTTTGTGATCCTCTGTGTTGTTTCCTTTTACAAACCAAATTCACTCCAACATCTAAAGTAAATAAATTAACAGTTTGAGAACAATAAGGTTATCCGAGGCCAAAGTGAGGAAATAAGGGCTGTGTGCAGCTGCTTGGTGCTTCTGCACAAAGCAGGCTGTCCAAGGTTTCTCAAAATTGTCTAGTGATTTTGGGATGACCCATTTGAAAGACCTAAAACAGATCCAGTGTTTCAGAAAGAGCTGAGCACCTGCCTTCTGAAAATTAGGCTTCTTTAAGGTGTCTCACCCCTAACCCTAAATCACTTTTAAAAATCTTGGCTACAGTCTTTCCAGGTCTGATTTTTCAAGCCAGCTTCCCAATTTGGAGTTTGCACATAATTTTGTGAGCAGTCAGCTTTCAAAATCTGTCACTCTGTGTATTTACCTTTTAATCAGTCACTGATGGCTCAAAATACATAAGCAACCACTATACTCAGGGTAGTTTTCTAGAGCTATATCTCTTATGGCCAAGAATTATAAAATAATACTTAGCACTCATATAGTGTTTTGCTGACAGTCATCCCTTTAAATACATCATCCCTGTAAATAGTAGAATCACAATTTTACAAAGAGAAGAATTGAGGCAAAAGAAGTGAAGTGGCTTGCCCTAAACTGAAGGAATCACTATCAAAGAGAGAATTAGAACTCTGGATTAGCTGGCTCCTTTTCATGGACTCAGGATAATAAGACCACACAGGAGGTCAAGGTCTCAGAAAGCTTGATTGAGAGGTCATTTTGAAAGTACTTCTATCACAGTGATGGGCACAACAGAAAGCCCTGAAGGAGATAGAATTCAGAGTACTGTACACTCTATTAAAGGCACATTGCCAAAGTTATTAGACCAAGAATTAACCTACCAGACAGACATCTTCGTAAATGTTTTCATAAATCTGCAACTATTCTCTTCTAAAGGTCTGTCTAGTAGAAGCATTGTTAAAGGTTCTGTGTGTTCCGTTAATTCTGAAGTGTCCACATGCAGATATTTTATTCTTTAAGTCCTTGCTGATGCCTGGCCACAACACTGACTGGTTGGCCAGTTCACAGCATTTAGTTAATCCTTGATATCCTTCATGGATGAGGTTTAGGATTTCTCCTCTCATTTCATTTGGAATTATGATGCAATTGCCGGTAATCATGAGTCCATTTGACTCAATTGTCTACACACCGCAGAGTAGTCTCTTGTCTCTTCCTTAGTGTCCTTTAGATACATTGGCCAGCAGCCTTCCTGAAGTTGCATGTTTGTCAAGGTTTTTTTTGTTGCTGGTGTAATCTCTCATATTTAGCAATTGGGTTAAATGACATTAACCTTAGCAATAGACTTTGGCATCCCAGTGCTGCTTGATCCAGGTCTCTTCTGTTGATGCGGGTTACAAACGATTTCTGGTCTGTTATCAGCGTAAATGAAGCCAGTTCACGCAAAGATCTGAAAAAGTTCTCACATGCCCATAAGCTTGCTTGGCACTCCTTTTTAATCTGTGAATATCATTTTTCTGCTTCTATGGGTGCGCGAGAGCAAAATGCAACTGGCTTCCACTCAGAGCCATGTTGTTGCAACAATACACAACCTAGGCCATAGCTGCTTTACCCTGTACTGGCCATTGTGGGTTTATTCTTAATTTGGCCTTCAGAGCCAAGATGTGCTGGGCTTTAACAGTTCATTCAGTGTACAAAGGACTTATAGAAGTCAACCAAGGTAATTTACCATCCCCAATATATATCTTGGTTCTGGTACATTAGTTGGTGCATTCAGTTCTCTAATTGCTTTGACTTTCTTCAGTTAAAGATGGAATCAGTCCTATTTGTTGTCTGTCCCAAAAATTCAATTTGGGGTAGACAGAAAATGGATTTTTCCTTGTTTACCTTCAGTCCAGACTGACTGACTAGATTTAGGAATACTGTCCATGAAAACTACAACTTCATTTATGTTCATCAACAGTTCTGCCATCTTTCTTTGGAAAATTTCAGGTGCTTTGGTAATCCCAGAAAGTAATATTCAAAAGCAAAATGTCCCAAAGGATGTGATAAATGTAGTCAGTTTAGCACATTCTTTGGATAAAGGAATTTGGCAGAATTTACACAAGGCATCCAACTTGGAGAATAATATAGCTCCTTTCACTTTGGGGAGGAAGTCATCCAGTGTTGGGAGGATATATTTTTCTCTCACAACTGCTTCATTAAGTCTTTTAAGATCCACACAGATTTTTATTTTTCCAATTTTCTTTATAACTGGTATCATTGGCACATATCATACTGTTGGCTCAGAGATTTTCTTGATTATGCCAATCCACTCCATTCTTTTTAACTTAGTTTCCACTTTATGACATAACGGGCTAGGAATCCTGTGAGTTGTATCTACAGTAAATGATTCAGCATTGTCTCTTAAGGTTATTTGTACTGGATCTCCTTTCAAAAATCCAGTATCACCTTCTGTTTGCAACTGTTGTTGCTTTTTTCCTTCTGTTTCTGTTCTTAGTTTACTCCTGACACCATGTCATGTACTTCTGTACCAGATATGGACTGGTCACAGAGCTTGCTTATACACTCCAGCTGTGTTCATCATAACATAAGATTCTTTAATTCTCTGCCAGGTATGGTGGAGATTCCTTTAAATAAGGAATTTTACAGTGTCACCTAGTGGTCAAACAGTGTAATACAGTTTAGCATTCCTTGATGAAGTGAGCTGTAACTCACGAAAGCTTAAGCTCAAATAAATTGGTTAGTCTCTAAGGTGCCACAAGTCCTCCTTTTCTTTTTGCGAATACAGACTAACACAGCTGCTACTCTGAAACCTGTAATTTACCAGGAACTCTGTCAGCTGATTGATTCACTCAGGGTTTCTTTGTAATTTTTGTCACTTCTAAATAAAAGAGGTAATTTGCCTCCTATGTGAGGCTGCGACCCATCCTAATTTTTGTGAGATAATTTCATGTAGTCCTTTAATGGCAGGACCATTAAGCTAACTGTCACAAAACATTTCAGTCCAGCACAACTGCTATTAGACATTAATTTACCATTGTTGTCTTGCAGAACAAACTACTTAAAGTGACAAGTTGACTGGTGAGGCAGAGAGCAATTAGCACCAGTTTTGTTAAAACAGTAATTAATGAGCCGGTAGAAGAGCTCAACATATTGGGCAATAATTAAATGACCAGACTAGTAAATTGAAATTCTGCTGTTATAGCAGAAATACTGTATGTGGGACTGTAATTGAACTCTGGGTTTCTGGTGACATTCTGAGCTATACTCCCAAAACAGCTGTACTGGCAGTCTGAAGACAGTTCAGAACCCAAGCTAAGTCCATTGCTCTGTAGTTGACAGCTGTGGAGAAAGGCATACTACTCCCACCCTGGAAAGTGGGAGTGTCTCATATCACTCTCCAAATGCATTTAGGCTAACTTGAGGATGGACATACTTCCAGCCTTCTTAGCCAGAGGGATGGTTGCTATGATGCAAGGCTCAGTGATGGGCAAAATGCGACAGATCCTCAGAGCTGCAGCAAGGAATAAAAAGGGAAGAAACCGTGATTCATTTGTTTATGACACCAGATCACAGAGGTGAAAACACCACCCTTGTTTTATGTAGCATTTCAGGGGTAGATTCTCAGCTAGTGTGAATTGCTATAGTTCTACTGAGGTTCAGCTGAGGATCTGCCCCATAATCTGTATTCTTATAATTATGCTTTGTATTTCAATGCAGTTTATCTAAGGATCTCACCTTTGAAAGCTAGCATGACTGTCCTGACAGATAAGCAATACTCTATCCTGGTTATAGAGGGGCAAACAAAGGCATACAGGGTGGGATCCACAGAGATAGTTAGTCACCTAACTCTCAGGTTTTAGGCATCTAAGTCCCAGTTATGGCTTCACTGAAATCCACAAAACTCTCACTGAACCCTGTAGGCATCTACATTCACTTGGCCCCTAAGCTTCTGCCTGTGCCTATGCACACTGCTGCTTCACTCTAGCCATCTAGGTGCTTGCCTCCCACCTAAACCCCAGAGCAA